GGGGGGGCATTACTTTTTTTTTAATCTTTTGTAGTTACGCCACTCTGTGTACAGCTGGGTTTTGTGTGAATTTGAAGACAGAGAGGACTGTGACTGTACTTTGACCAGAAGCAGAGGGAGGTGCGTGTCATTTTCGGTTGTTGCTCCGGTCGCTATAGCGGAAAAAATACAACAACTCAAATCTACCTGTAACCTCAATAACTACACGTTTGGTAAGTGTGAACTAATTCTTTAACTTGTTTTTCAGGGTTTGCCTGAAGCTTACTTGAAAACTGCTGGAACCTGATTAGAAGAATCAGTTAAAGATGAAAGTTCAACTAAGAGCATGTTCAGTGCTCGTCTACATTGTGGAAAGAAAGAGCACGAAAGTAATCAAAGAAATAAGTCCATTCGCGTGGAAAATATTGGACGTCTTTGAATATAAAATAATTGTGTTAACTTTGTAGCTGCTGTAAACAAAATCACATAAGATAAGCCTAATGGCGTGCTTTATGTCATTCACGTATCTTTTATTATTACTGTTATCATCGTTCGCAGACGTATTTTTGTATTCGTACAACTGTTTGTATATACATTTAGCGTATTCAATAAAAATTTAAGTTAATTTCGTTGCGTGTACTACTACTTGTAATATTCATACACCTTGCAACATGTGTGTAAGTAGAAGTTTCGTATGTCCATATTAAAAATCGGTTGCTCTAACAGTTTTCTGATTTGACTAGTTTTCACAAGTCTTACAAAATAATATTCTGTGTTTCTCACACATGGAAAAAGGTTGAATTTGATTGTATAAAGTGAGATGTTTTAATCTGTAGTGAACCAACAAAATCATGCGAGGCCTCTCGAGGAATTATAGCTGCAGATACTATACTCAGTTGCTCCAAGTGAGTCAGCAGGGCTTACGACGCTAAAAATCTGATTTCGATACCCTATTGCGTGGTTTTGTGCTTAACAGCAACCAATCATAATACACTCAGCTACAGCTGTCGAGGGAATACATATGAAGAACTTGACTACAGTGTTAACAGAAAACTGTCATTAAAAGAAATACAAAGTTAGCATTAAAATAAATACAGGTATGGATAGCTAACAGATAAGACTTAAACTATCTGAAAAAACAACTCTAGTTTCATCTTTAAAAAAAAAAGTGGAAACATGGAAAAATTTGCATATGCTTTGGAAGTTATTTGTAAATTAAAATGTATTATATTATCAGAACAACTAGTTATTAAAAGGTCTGTAGTAAAAATATTACCGCTGTTTTCAGGGCGGTGCAAAGCGTGTGGCAGACACGGCAAGTCCCCCATAGGCCTGTTATGGGTCCCAAAAATTCTACTTCGCATTATAAATTTTAACCTTCGGTTAGAATAAACGAGTTGACAATTTTTCAATCCCCCAAATGTGCTTACACCAACAAAGTTAAACCATGTGTCAGTTCGGTATCACACGATCCTTCCTTTCTTGTTCCTGTCAAGAGGTCACGCATGTGCAGGGGTCTGATCTGGTCTCATGATTAGAGCTCGAGGTGTCAGTTCGGTATCACACAATCCTTTCCTTTCTTGTTCCTGTCAAGAGGTCACGCATGTGCAGGGGTCTGATCTGGTCTCATGGTTAGAGCTCGAATCCCTTTCTCGAACATGTTCGCCCTCTCAGCCGTGGGGGCGTTATAATGTTATGATCGATCAAACTATTCGTTGGTAAAGTGCAGTCCAAGGGTTGGCGATTAATAGTATTGATTTAGTTGCCTTCCCTCAAGTCAATCACTTCAAAATTAGGAGTAGCTAACGTAGATAGTCCTACTTACAAAAGCTACTAAACACATTTTGTCTGTTGAATTTCGCACAAACCCGCCACTAGACGTCTACCTGCGCCAACTGTCCCTAATTTAGAAATCATAGACTAGAGCAGTGTTTCTCAACCGATGGGCCACAAAAAGGCTTGAGATTAGGTGACAATATCTTACAAAATGTTGCAAAACAGCAATAGTATAATACAAAGTACACAATACCTCGCAAAATGCTAACTAATGAAACAACATTGTCATATTTCTGTAATTCTATGTGATTTGCCGCACAACATTTCTTCAAGATTATGTTACTAAAAAAGTTGAGAAACGATGGACTAGAGGGAAGGCAACTAGTAAACACCATCCACCGCCAACTCTTAATCGAATAGAGGGATAGGCTGTCACATTATAACACCCCCACGGCTGAAAAGGCGAATATATCTGATAGTGAGATTCGAACCCACGACTGCGAGTCGAGCGCCCTAACCACCTGGCGTTGGTAATAACTATGCAACATTTAAAGAATAGTAAGAAAGAGTGTGTAATACTGGTGACGACATCTAGTGAAGCTTTGTGAATTTTCATGTATTTTTCTTAACTTGTCAAAACTCGTGAAGCTAGAGGAATGGACGGTTTTTTCTTGTTATCCAACTTCTTAATAAACTTATTACTACGATTTTAAACTCGAACTGTACTGTATAGTTTGACACGATTCTAGGGTCTCATTACTGGAGGCGAGGGAGGGAGGGGGGGCAAGTTCGGACTCCTGGATGCAGTTATATTTTAAACACTGCATGTAATTTGTCAGTCAAATAATTCAGCTTAACATTGTATAGCATTGTGAACTAAACTGATGACTTGTGTTCATTTTACTCTCGGATTAACATTACCTGAATCTGCTGTTTATTGCAGACATTTGTAACTTTCATCTATATGTTTGCATAACCTACATAAATGCATATACCTAAATTCAAACATGATAATAACTTGACCCAAAAAAAATACTCATTATTCACTTTTTGAAAATTAATTGTTAAAATATAAAAAAAGCGTGGTTTAAAAATTTAAGTCCCTCAAGCTTCTTACAGACAACAATACTAACAGATGTATTCAATTTTTGGTACAAATTTCGACTATATTCTGTACAGATTTTTTTGAAGGTACAAAACATTCGAAAAATTTAACATTTCAAACTGATGTGACTCCCTTAAATGTTTTTATATTAAGATATTCAGATGTTTAATTTCATAAACATCCAAGAAAATACTGTATTATAAAATCTGGGCCATTGTACACACAACTTACCTTGTAGATATAAAATGAATTATACATTTAGTTCTCTTCCTGGTACTAAATAACTGTACGTATATTACTTCTTGTTTGCATCGAAAGAAACATCGGGGGAAAAAAAAACTCTTTTAAACATGCCAGTTTTCTTCACTCTCTTCTGTTTTAAATATAACCAAAATAAGTCTAAATAAAATGTGATGTTTGGAGCCCAGAAACTTTTATACTTCATATTATAGCCTTAACAGCAGTTCTTTGACTTCTTACTGATTATTTTGATGAACCTCAGCATTTGCTGTTACACCAGTAAACAGTATCAACAACTGTAGATAAGCCTTCTTCACTATCAATATCCTTCTACATTCATGACAAAGGTTTCAAAACAAACCACTGAGGTAATGCTACTATAATAGAGAGCACCTACTTTGGTACACAGTGTGTCCATTGATGACTTCATTTCTGTTGTTCCCCCCTTTCTCTCAAGGTCTCATTCTTCTGCAATTTCTATTGTCCCCCCATTCTCTTAAGGTCTCATTCTTTTGCAACTTCTGTTGTTCCCCCCTTTCTCTCAAGGTCTCATTCTTTTGCAATTTCTATTGTCCCCCCCATTCTCTTAAGGTCTCATTCTTTTGCAACTTCTATTGTTCCCCCATTCTCTTGATGTCTCTTTCTTTTGCAATTTCTATTGTTCCCCCATTCTCTCAAGGTCTCATTCTTTTGCAATTTCTGTTGTTCCCCCCTTTCTCTAAAAGTCTCATTCTTTTGCATTAAGTTTCTAACTTAAAAAAAATATCCAAGGTAGCCCTATCTTATCAAAAAATTAACTGCTGCAAAAAATCCTTTCCTTAACTGCATAAATTAATTCTTAAATTAACTTTATCATGATGTGTTACTTATCAAAACTGTAGGCAGTACAAATAAAGATAAAATTTAGGTATTGATGTCAAAATTCATAAGTCTTTTTTTACTGTAGTACTGAAATTTACATTAGTGCCTTCTTGTAGCTGTTCGATCATTGAAAATGTTTGACATTTTTCAAGTCCAACAAAATCTAACCAAATAATTATTCTGGTGTTACCCTGTAGTTTTTTTTTTTACAACCAATTAATAATAAACTGAATTTAATACACATTTGTAGTCGCCATAACAAGAAAACAGTCAACTTTACGAATTTCCCAGCTATAGGATTGGGACGCACATGTAATGATGTTTTTCATGTATTTGTTTAATAAATGTTTGTGAAACAACTTAGTTGTATTTGATAATATTTCACATTTCTTCTAAAATTCTTTCTCTCACAGTCACAATGGAAAGAGCTTTTATTTTTGTATCAAACAAATCCTTTCAAAATACTCTCAATTTTACATTTTAAAAAAAAACATTTTACACACAGAAACTTTTGTAATCTTTCATATAAAATTATTTTTTACTGATTTCCTTGATTTGGTAAACACATCATAAAAAAAAATTACCAAAAATAGATTGCTCTCATCAAGTTCATTACAAATTTTGCAAATCTAACATTTTTGTGGACGAGGTTCATGTGGATCAACAGCATAATCCAGGAAATGCTGAAACATTTGGGTGACCTTACGTGGAAAAATACTGGAAAATAAAATAAATGATCAGTTTCAAAATGTCCGCATGAAGTAAAATAACCATTAAGTACTGCTTTTTGATAAATCCTACTTTATCCTATTAAATTAAATCCTGTATAATGTTTCAATTAATATTGGAAAAATGTGGTACTAAGAACACAGTCCATAGATAAGACAATGGAATCCATAGTAGTCTTACAGTTACACTCAATTCAAGGAACTCTAAGGTGATTCTTACCCTGTGATTCTGGTAATGAACTCAATCCTTGAGGGAATGATTAACAGCTGTTGATTCTGCAAGACAGCATTAATAATTCTCTGTGCTACTTCATCAACTTCTAAGATAGGCAAAAGTCGAGGAAATCTAAAAAATGAAAAATATTTATGTTCATGTATACTTCATGCTTAACATGTTTGCTGCCACCAGTTGTATTAATAAATTAAGTACATATAAAATTAAATATTCAAGAGAAGCCAAGAAGCCGTCACAGTGTCCAAAACTCGTATGCCGAAAGAGAAATTTGGCTTGGAAACACAAGTGTTCATGACCCACGTCACATGGTCCATAACTAAAAGTCGGTTGTGACCCACTAGTGGGGCATATGGCAGCAAATGCATTAAACTATGATCTAAACTCAGCTAAATTTCTAGCAATACTAAACAGAAGGTTGCAAAAAGTATATTTTCAGGAACTGTACAATACAAAATCAAATTATATTAATTAATGAAACAAAATACAGCACCAAGGGTAATATAAGTCTAATAAAAATCAAACTGTTTTCTATAAACATATTAACTTTCACAATTATATTTTAGTCCACTTTATGAGGGGTGATAACTTAAAGTATTTAAAACAATCACAAACATTTGGGAGCACAAAAATATTTTGATACACAACACTACAACATGTAAAAATTATTTGGTTATCAATCACAAGTTTGTTTGAGTTGAAGCACAAGGCTACACAATGGATTATCTGTGCTGTGCCCACCATGAGTATCAAAACCCAGTTTTAGCATTGTAAGTCCACAGACATACCACTGAGCCAGTGGGGGACAATTCGCACATAATTTAGAAATATGTTAAACATAGAGTAAACATGTTTATATATTAGATATAAAAAGAGCACATTTACATAAATGTGTTTGATGCTACTTGTGATACTCAGCTATATACAATAAGCTTGCATTGAAAGAGCACCTTCTTGTGGCTAATTAACAAAACTGCATCTGACTTAAGCAAAATAAATCTTTATTTAACAGTCACCATTTCAAGCGTGTTAACGGCCAGTCTTTTTGACATAAAATTGGTGATTAATTAAACATAATAATAAATAAACAACAAAATAAAAAACAGAGTAACACAAAAAGTTCAATTAGAAAATAAATACGGACATTCAACTACAACAAAAAGTTACAAGAGAGAGAGTGTGTTGTTATCAGTCAAATTTCTTTTTTAACAACATTGTTGATCAATTATAAAATTTTGCCTTGGATGGGGTGATCGTAGCATTACACCAGTGCTCTAATATTATTAGTGTTAGCATATATTTTATGCTTCATACTTATTCAATTATAACACTTTTCATATGCCATATATATATATATATATATATGTTAAGCATTCAGTACGTTATTGAAGCAATGTAGACGATAAATATATCCTTCCCGTGCTTCACCGTAACGCTCTGCTTCAATGCACAAGAGGAGCTGCTAAGTATGACAATTTGGCATTGCATGTAGTTTTCTTATTTAGTTTTTCTTTTGCTACAACAACTTTTATCTATGTAATAGGAATTATACAAATCAAAAGACTGAATTTTCATGTGAGTGACATTTAAAGAATGATTAATATTCAGATATTGTCAAACAATTTTTATTAACAATAAAAAGGCAAAAAAAATCACATTGTTTGAATGCTGTCTGATGAACCTTTGTACATTTAGAACTATCTTCAATTTCTTGGCTAGAAAATAATACTTTAAACCATAACTTTCCAAAGTGTGGTCTGTGACCCGGTATAGGTCCATGATAAAAAAATGCCAGTCCACAGAAAACTAAAAAAATTAAATTAATTTTAACCCTTTCACTGCCAACCATTTTTATACTTTCTCCAAGCCCTTGTACTTAAACCAGTTAATATAAATATATTCTAATAAAATTAATATTTTCAAATACATTATAAATTAAATTTTCATTTCATTTAACTTGGATTTCTCAGTATTTCAATTAAGCTAATATAACAGGAAGGAAAAGTGAAAGTTTGTACTTAAGGCTACGAAACTATAGAATTCACAAGTTGACGGCTGCCTTTATATCTTCAGTCCCTCAGGAATTAAGGTGTTCTCATTTAGTGTAAATTAGAAAGCCTAAGATTAAGTTTTATGGTGTTGATAACCATAAGATTCTTGTGAAATGCCATAAATTTAAACCACATGTTAGCTAGACATGTCCCCCTGCTGAGTCCAAGCCGATTTTCCCCTGTCTGCAGGTAAGATCAAAGAAGGGATTTTGTCTCGCATAAAAGGACCATTTGTTCATTCAAGTTTTAGGAATTTTATTCCAAATTTGTTAAATTTGCTTAAACTGTTAATGGAAATTGACAGGCATGTGAGACCTGAGTCTTACATCTGGTAGTGCCAGGTAGCAGCAGACAAGTTACTGATGGCCCATGATAGAAGCATCAGTTTGTTCTGAGAAGTGAGAGAGAATTGTTTTTGACTAAGTTTGTACTAACTAAAATTTTTTTAAGTTGTTCATTTTTAAGAAAACCCCTCTCAAATAT